TTCGTACATCATTACATATACAATTTTATTTAGCAGTAAAGGCATTTGGCGTTTGTTATAATAAAAAAAATAAATAAACCTATGTTTCCTATTTAGGGCAAGAAAATTCATTTGTTTGCTGTAAAAAGGGGTTAGGATATTCGCGTTAAACTGATGTTAATAAGAGAATATTGGCTTCCAATACTTAACAAGTTAAATCCGTTAATTTTCTTCGTCAGTGTATATACATGTATATCATGCAGCAGAATGCAGAAGCATGCTCGCCGCATGCCGAACGTGCCTAAGAGCTGTCTCGATCCTTTGTATGGCACTTGGAGTCCACGTGGAGGCATGTTGTGAAATTTGCACAGGCATTGCAAAAACCGGCTCCATTCTCAGAACACCTATTGTCAGAATAATAACGAGGAGCAATTTCGTCCATACTTCCCCCATTTAAGCTTCTACCAACAAAGGAATTTGGGGGATAAAACATTATGTACCATAATACTTTGCGCTGAAGTTCATTTTCGCTTAACAAATACGAGGTTAATATTTCGAAGCCGTCAGTCATTTGCTTGGGACTCGACTCGTGTGACAATTCAGCGGTGTAAGCGCTTTACAGTATTTTTTTCAATCGTAGAGGACGACAAGCATTTGATGATAGGCGAAATACTTTAGGCTATTGCATCTAAACAAGAAGTCGACCTATTTTGACTTTGGATATTTGGAAATCCACGGACTGCAACCGATTAAATTTTACCACTTTTTTTATTTCGTGACCCGATTGGAATTTCGATATTCCTACCCATTTTATATCCAGATTTCCAGACGAAGTCCAACTTGTTTCAGAACAATTATAGATTGACTTACAAAAATGTTGTATCCAGTGGAGATCGAACCCACGACTATTGATTATAAGTTGTACATTGCTACCATTAAACCAACGAGGCCGTATTTCCTTACAATTTCGAAAGCGCTGTCCGCTGAGAAGTACAAATGTTGCAGGGTGCTTTTCAGTGCATTGTTAAAAGATCTTTCCCTTCCTTTGACATCCAAACCCGGAATTAGGTAGGTATTTTGAATTCGATACATTTTTTGCGAACACATAGAATCATCGTACCATAAATAATTGTTTTTTTTTCTGGTGTGAAGGCGGTTCCATTATTTATGATTTGTTGTGAGATAATTGGGTATATTATCAGGTATTATTTTAGTCTCTTTGTTCTAAACATTCTTTACTTTATGGTCTTGTGGGTTTTGTGTTTAATTTGTTTAGTAGGTGTAGGCCAAAATACCTACTGTACACAAACTTTTGCTTTTATGTTTATTATTGTTGTTCTCTAAAATTTTTAATATTATTTGGTCTATAAGATATCTCTATAAATCGATTGTCTTTTTCTATTAAAGGAATATTCTTCATGTAAAAAAACGTCTCTTAATCAATTCAAAATCAAAAATCGTTTATTCTAAATTTACAGTTACTACCAGTTCCCAAGTTAGGGCGCAGAACGAACGAGAAGAATTGGCAAGAAACTCGCCGCCATTCCTTTTAATTACCAAGTTTTTATTACATTCTCTTATATTCCTTACACACTCCTATAATAACTCTTTTCAAACAGTTTTTGTTTAACATACAATTTAAACTTATTATTAACTTAGGGATTATATTAAAATACCTTGAAAAGAATTACTTGTATTATGGAGTCTTTTGGTCGGTAAACTTATTTTATCCTTATTGCGTGTATTATATTGATGAAAACTGCTATTTGTTTTAAAATTATGTACATTTTTTCGAGCAAACAAAACATTTTCATAAATATATTGACTTGCTAATGTTAGAATATTCAATGATTTTAATTAATACGACGTCTTACGCTATGTTTTGAGAAAGACAATTAAATCGAAACGAATATTTACCGCGCTTTTTTTGTGGATCCATCTCTAGAACGGAAATCCGACATTCCTATCCCCCCCTTTAATATCAAGTCCATTTCCAAACAAGGTACCTACATGTTTAAAAAATCATAGATTACCCGGTGGGAATCGAAGCTATGTTCCGTTGACAGGATTTTTGGTACAGGTAGGTAAATAGTTACCATTGGAACATAGAGCCCGTCTGAACGTTGACGTTTCTTTCTTTCTTCTTTATTATGAGAGGGACTATATGTCCGTATTACGTAGTGGTTGTAATGTTTTTATATAATTATCAATATTTAATTGGACTAAATAGAAGATCCAATTAAATGGATTTACCACGTTAACGAGTAACGAGTTACCACGCTTACGTCAGGGGGATATGTAGCAAACCTATTTGTTTAAATAAAACACTAACGCGATATATATTAGTTAAACTTATTTGAAAATTATTTTAACCAAGGCCCGACGTTTCGGATGCTTTGCAGCAGCCGTGGTCACGGGGAGATCGGCTTTTTAAACCGTTAGTGTTTTATTCAAATGTATACTACTCGCGTAAATAGTATACGTTTTTGAGTTAGATTAAAATGTATGTGGGAAAATTCAATGACAACGGTTAGGACACTACTACTTAAAAGTACTTAAAGGTGTAAGTAGTGACACGCGTATAAATACGCGCTAAGAGATCTTTGGTACATAGACACGCGTGTAACAATTAACAATCGCTAAATTATTAAATGATTTTATATTTTATTAACTTTATTTGACATAAAAGCGTTTTTCCAGAGGAAGAAGGATGTCGTTGTTATGGATTCGAAGGAACGAACTCGTGACTAGGTTTTTGAACGATACCTACACTATATACTTAGTACTAATCGTGTCAGCGACTTCGTTCGCGAGAATCATTATTTTGGACATCGAAATTCGTTTTGCATCCCCTTCAGCTTTATAAACTGAAGTCACCCATGACGTGGGTCGCGTCCCTTCCCGTCGTTTTTGCAAGATAATCGTAAAAGATCATTTAAGAAGAAATCTCTCTAGCATACGCAGCGTACGCCTCGGAAACCCGTAATGATGAACTATTTTCCAATTTTTGTCACATTTCTCGCTGTATCTTCTCTCCTATTAGTCACAGGACGATGTTTTATAGCCTATAGCCTTCCTCGATAAATGCTCTAACCAATACAAAAACAAACAAACTCTTCAGCTCTAAATATTAGCATAGATTCACATGGTTGAGTGTTTTCAACTACAATATTTAGTCCACATTCTACCATTTGTCTACGGAACATCAGCGTTTAGAAAGTAATCAAAGGTAGGTACATACCTATCGCAATGTGTTCCCAGGATATTTCGAATTGGGTCTTTCTCCGTTTAAGTTTTTTTCCACATTATTTCAACAAGCAGAGTCTCACAGCGAAGTATAAAATAGTACTTCGTTTTAATTCTTCTCACAGAACCGTTATTTTGGTTTGTTTCTGCAAACCTCCTTTTTGACTATATAAATTTAATCTGTAACCCATGACGTCGTGTCCCGTCGTTCTTACAAGGCAATCTTAAAAGATAGACTCAGGTATACATGTTTTAAATTAATTAAGGAGGAATCATTATTTCATACATATTTTTTGGGAATCATTAACCGTTTTCGCAGAGCACGAAACGAGAATCCACTAGGATAATTTTCCTGTTTTTTCTGTCATTTCCCGCTGTTTCTTTGCTCCTATTAGTCACAGCGCTATTTTTTATAGCCTATAGCCTTCTTTAATAAATGCTCTTACCAACATGAAAACAAATTTTAAACTCGAACCAATAGTTTCTGAGATTAGTGCGTTCAAACAAACAAACTCTACAGCTTTATACTAATCGTATCTGTCTATCTATCAACAATCATTGTAACAGGATTTTATACATGTAAGCAAACAAAACACTAGCGTTGACCACGTTTTAAAATGTTAGGTAATATTTTATTTAGCTACATATACCGGTAGGAGGATTTACTTTATCGCAGGTGAAATGTCCCGGCCATATATGATATAACGTCGAAACGAGATTTGGATATTCGGAAAACTAGAAAGTGAAACCAAGACGCGATTAAGCTTGACGGCTTTTCAACGGCGGTTCGTGACCCAGGCGGAATCTCGATATTCCTACCACCTGTATGATACACAGATATCCAGATGAAGTCAAAGCCTGTGAGGATCGAAGCCCCGACCGGTTGATTATCAGCTACATCGCACCAACAAGGGCGTCAAAGTCCGTTAATATGTTATTGCATAGGATGGCATTATATACATTTAAAATCTATATAGATTGAAAAAAAATTACGACACGGGCGGGACTTGAACCGGAATTCAAGGCTACTGTTTTGGTTATTATTTTTAATTCTAACATATAGCGTTTTCTTATTCTACAGTAAAGACGTCGAGACGGCTTGAACGTCCACCCCGCTTCTTCGTCATCAATCTTAAAGGTCGCCAATCTAATCGATGCTGTTTTAAGCTACACTTAAAAATTCAATATCTACCTACGATCTGAGGTTTTCAGCGTGGAGCGGAATCAGTTCAGCACGGTACTTGTACTTAAACAGTCGCTCGAGATTATCTTCATCTTCCATGGCAATTTGAACATAGTAACTACTCCAAAATCGAGATACTCTTCACTCAAATAATGAGAGCCTCGGTTGACTGTTTGTTTTTATTTTTTAGATATTCTGGTATCAGCTATCCATACCACTCGATCGGAAGAGCTAGTTACTTGCATATAAAGAAAGAAAAGAAGGTCGTGGCTAGTTCAATCAACAAATAAAATACAATAAAACGCCAAATATAAGTTAATTATTTAGTATTTATTTTAACGACCCGACCTTTCGGATGGTTTACAGCAGCCGTGGTCTAAAGCCGCTAGCCGGGGACTAAAGTTAGACGATCTCTCTAATGTTAAATCTGTTGCTCTAGCTTTATAATGTTTAAACTGCAGACTACTAAAGTTTTCGAATCTTTCGGTAGCGTAAGATAGTAATAATTAGAAATGGACTGGACGCGTAAACTGTGAGTTACGACGGCATTTTAATTCCACCTAGCGTCAATAAATCGTGCCTCAAAGTGCCGCTATCTGCCGCGTCCGCTCGACCGTATATTTATCTCCCTACAAACAGAATAAATAACGTCAAGACCCTCGCGTCGCGCGGCTAATCCAAAATGTCGGTTTATTTTTCTATGTGAGGCCGCGATACAAAAAACAAAGCTGAGATCGAACGAGCCGCATTTAGAAAAGGACGCACGACGCACAGAAGGAGACAGAAGAACGCGGCAACCGGTCTGCAACAGGCGGAGCGCGGCCAGAACCGTTGCCATTGGTCGTCGACAAACATCGCCCGCCGCCTGCGTCGAACGAACGATCTCATTGGCCGCCCGTACACCCCTCCCGCACCCCGCGAGCCCCAAAACACCCGACCTTTCACGATTGCTGATCCGATTCGATACGACCGAAAATGCCTTAGTTACTTCAAACGCGCGCTGTGGTACGGACGTTTTCGCCGACGTTTTCAGCAAATAGACTAAAACCGGTTTCCTGTCGCCCTCGAACTGGCAAATGTTATCTTTGGTGTTATTCAAGTGAGGAACGCGGATTGTTTTGGATTTTCTGTACTAATACAGGTAATAACATTACAGTATATACTATGTAGTGTATTATAGGAGTGAAATAATATATTATCATATTGTAGATGTTTCGTTCCGTAAAACCGTTTTGAACGCGAGTAATTTATTGCCGGATGATTGAACGTAAAAGCGGTGTCCTCGTAATCAACGTAGGCCGATCGGCGCGGCAATGTCGCGCGTAAATAATAGGGTAGGCGCTCGTCTCTCTCGCAGCTGGCGCGGCGCGGCAACGTCGCGGTGTCAGACGGCCGCGCCGTGCCTCCACCGCCGTGCCACGCTGAGACACCGTGGGGAATCGCCCGCCAACTCGCCGGACGCATCGTTTTATACCTACGCACGATTTTTTAATCGCTATTTGACACACTGCCAATTATAAACAATCAGTCTTCTCCCACACACAGTCTAATATTGCCATGCGAGTCTTATATACAAGGTTATATCTAATTAGTTATATACTTAAAAAAAAACAATAGAGATTAAGCCCACTATCAGTTAATTACAAGAGATGTGCATTTCTGTGCTACAATATCGCTATAAAGACTGAAAACAAACAACACGATGATGAAAATAAAACTTGTTTACAGATATCGAGCGGGTGTTTATGAATGCGTAGCGCACTCTGTCGGAGATCGGCGGAGTGAGGCGGCGCGGCGCGCGCGGGGCGAGGCTTCTTCCCCCTACTTCAGTTTCCACTGGGATCGTGCAGAGAGAGGACGTTTGAACGTCGCGCGCAAGGATCGTTCGCGCGGCAACTTTGAACCGTGTCAGTGAACGAACTGTTTTGGATAAAATGTGTGCCGGATCGCAGTGAAACTAATTGGATGCAGTGATTGGATCACAATTCGGATTGCAGTGTTTCTGGATTGAGTCGGCACGGACAATCTTCCAAACTGGGGATGCATAAGATGGAGTTGGGCGACAGTGTGTACGCCGCTGAGCGTATAATGAAGAAGAGAATTAGAAAGGTGAGCTTATTTCTTTCGCGCGAACGCAGCAACACGCCGCTTACGACATTCGCATATCACATATCGCGCCCGGTGTAATTTTATGTATTGTGCACTGCATGTTTCGTAATTCTCGCTTCAATAACGCTTTGACAGTGCTTATTTTTAATGTAGATCGTGTTTAATCCGAGCATTGTGATCCTGAGGCAGCTGTTCAGATGATCGTAAGGGTTTTGCTTCGCGTTCGTCCCTTGCTATTTACAAGTCTCCCCTTACGTCGCTGTAAGGGCTGAGAAGTTCAATGCGTCTTTGTGAACGCTGCTCCCTTCTTGAGATCATATTTAGTTTTTGACAGTAAACAAGTTTCGAACACTGGAGTCGGCTGTAATGGGTAACCTTGTGATGGCGCTATTATTGTTTAATTTTGCCATTTCAAGTTGTTACTAAGTTGGAGTCTGGTTGTTTTTTGTCTGTGGATTTTATTGACTGTCACAATTGCGCGTCCGTTATGAGACTTCTAGTGCGTGAAAGCATAAAATTCCTTTTTTGAAATTACCCCACAACAATCAACTTTTTAATATCCCGCCATTCATTATACCCTAGTAATTAGTATATTTTAAAGCTGGAGCGATATCTTGATCGTAATTCAATGTCCTCGTCTTTATCGTTTATTCTGCATCGATCGATGACGTAGATTGTCATCCTTGGAATGTTATTTTAATTGCATCAGCTGTCTTCTTTCGTACGGACGGACACAGTATCTTTCTCAAGCTTTTCCTTGTTGTCCATTGTCCTTGGACACTCAGGTACGAATGAGACCTTAGTGTCCAAGGTTTGCATGGACAGGAAATACATAAGAGGACAAGAGTCGGAATTATTTTGAAAGTAACGACGTAGAGTTATATCAAAACAGATCGAAATTCGTCAAATCGTCCTTCAAGTAAAATATTTAAGTATTAATGCAAGTAAGTTTCGTGAAGTCTGAAGTTAGATTCATTTAAGAATATCTATGAGTAATATAACGTATTTTAAAATACATTACTTGACAAAGTGACATAGAAAAAGACGATAGGATTTGAAAGTTAAATTTTTTGTCCATATTCAATAGATGTAATGTAAAAAATAATTAAGTATTTAATGTTTTACCAACTGTAGCAAAAACTAAAGATCGTTTACTAATTGACCAACTAATACCATACTTTTGTAGATGTATGACACCTAAATATATTATACACTAGCTGTTGCAGCGACTTCGTCCGCTAAGAATATTAATTTTGGGCACCCAAATTCGTTTTTTCAAACCCCCTTTATCTTTATAAACTTAAGCTGTTGTTATCCACGACGTCTATCGGTCCCTTCCCGTCGTTCTTGCAAGTTAATCTTCTCAAACATATAACGTCGTGGTCTTTTTTAGGTCATTTAAAGAGAAAATATTCTTTCATATTTTTGGGTATCTTGAATTAGATAGTTGCATCGTACGACTCGGAAACCCAAATAATATCCTAAATAATTTTCCCATTTTTTTCACATTTCCCGCGGTATCTTTACTTTTATTAGTCACAAGGCGATGTTTTATAGCCTATAAGCTTTCCCTGATAAATGCTTTTACACACAATTTTATTCAAATTCGAACCCGTAGTTCCTGAGATTAGCGCGTTTAAACAAACAATCAAACTCTTCAGCTTTATATATTAGTATAGATTATATTTTGTGACTAACTTTGTATTAAACAAAAAATAAAGGTCTTCCCTTCATTATCGTATATTACCCTGTCACTTGAGGATTCTCGTTTAACAAGTGTGGTTTTAACGTGAGACTTTCCTAGATTATTTTAATTACCACATCTGATGTTATTAAGACTATACTAGAGGAAGAGATTCGTAAAATTAACAGAATCAAGAATTTAAATAAAACACTTTAACGGTTTAAACCTACTTACAGTGGATATAGATCAAATAAAACTCGGATGCTTTGCAGCAGCGTGGTTCTCCCCGTGACCACGGCAGCTGCAAAGCATCCGAAACGTCGGGCCGAAGTTAAAAATCATTTCCATATAAGTTTAACTAATATATCGCGTTTTAAACCGTTAAAGTGTTTTATTTAAATGTGTACTACTCGCGTAAAATATAGATAGTATAGAATCAAGAATTAACAAATCCAAACGATTGACTAATACCATAAGTCACTTATTACATTCCACAGCTAGCTACAAAGTTTTACTATATTATTGTTACATCTACTCTTCTTAAAATGTCAAACATGCTAATTGCAGTCATCAAGAGACTACCTGGAAGCTCAAATGACATAGATAACACATTAAGGGGAAGTTTTTTTCTTAATCTCAATCAACGAAAAGAAATGGTACTAACGACAGTTTGTGTATTAGCTACATCTTAGCTTGATACGAATCATGAACTGCGAGTCGTAGCTAATACTAAACTAATAGTTTGCATTTTAAACCGTTTAAAACTGTTAAACTATATCATCACGTAAACTACTCTACGACCACCTCTGTATCTATAAAGTTGCCAGCATTCGTACGAAGAGGCCCTGGGTTCGAATCCCAGGGAAACAAAAAATTGTTTCGGTCGGGCAGGGCGCAGAAGTCTGATCAACTACTTGCCTGTTAAAGAACGGATCACGGACACGAAATGTGCTCGCCCCATGCCCCACGAGTGGGAAACGTGATGTCACACGTAAATTACTAATCGACAACAAATGTGATTGTATGATCGTTGTAAATAGCTAGCTGTTATCAATATACAAAATTAAAAATCGGTTTTACCAACTACATATTTGATTATATCCTATACGGACACTCAATTGGTTGGATTTATTATAAAATGTGATAAATATTTAATTTGAAACGACAATGATGTTTTGTATCCACTGTAAGTAGCTAATTTTTAAACGCGCCGTCAATTCGGTCGGACAAGAGTTAAGTAGACATATAAACAAAGGAGATTTAGAAATGTTTTTACTTCATTCATGGATCAAGGAAACACCATTTCATTATAAGAGTAAATTTAAGTATTTGAAGCTTGTGCAATGCTTAACGTCTTCATATCACGTCTCTTTTAATACTTGTTGCTTCTTGGTCAATCGTCTTTAAATAATAATGGAAACTGTCTGTAATAACTATTTGACGTGGTTTTAATAGACCGGAGGATCCAAGATGTTGTGAATTACGTTAGACTCGTCTATTATCTGGATACCATCGTTCATAGGTAGATAAAAAAGCCTTTAAGTAGGTATATTCAAAGGTTTATGGGTGAACAGAGCATCTAATCAAGATATAATATGGCTCTTCACCTTCCGTGAACTGTTTGAATATCCCTCTCTTTAAAAACAACTGTTGCTGTCTTTCCAAGGAAATACCTGATCTGCAAATTATCCTTAAAACAAAATTGGCCGATAACACATCGTAGCCATTATTTACTCGGTGAAAGAAGTCTATATCTCCAGGTTTGTAATCCAGGAATCGTGATGAGTATATCTTATTACAATGTTTAGCGTATTACAAGTAACTACTGATGCTACGAGCTGTAGTGAAGAGTAATTCACATCTAATATTAAAGTATTACATTATTTAAATATCCTAGGAGATAAACAAGAATAGATTCTACGAGTTAAATACACCGGTCCTAAAACATCTTTTCGGCTCTATAATTAAGATGCACTGTCTACCTGTTATGGCTATGGAAGTGTAAACGCTGATTTACTCTTCCATTTGTAGATGGTGGTTAGAAGGCGGAATTTGGTGTGCCTTCCACCATATTATTATATTCGCCATTTGACTAAGACTAAAGAAAATCGTATTTACTATACCTATTAGATCGTTAAAACATTTACTTGTACTACTATACGTCGTTGTCAGTATCCACCCTAATCAATCGATTTAATTGACTGCGCTTCGTCAATACAAAAAAGCAGAAATGAGATCATCAAATTGGTTCAACGTAAAATATAATTCAATTAGAGCATCGCCATGCCTTCATTATTTATACTAGCCTAAAAGTTTCCGAGACCTCTAGCGCCGTGATTAATTTAGGAAACTACTTAATAGAAAACATTTCGCGACATCTCAAAGTTAACCTAACTGCTAACAACATAAGTGCTCTAATCGAATGAAGACTGCCTCACCTTGTTATCTGCAGCCGGACTGCCGAACGTAAATTGCGCGTGATCGTTTTTCGATTTTGGTCTCTGTGGCTTATGGAATAAAGTTCATGTTGGGTAAAGCATCACGTCTATCGAAGCAACTCCTACAGAGCGCTGCGGCCCTAGTATCTCGGGCTAAACGCGCCAGTATTCGGTTGCGGCCAAAGCGAACGGCTAAGGCGCATGCTCCCCGCCAGCGCTCTTGGCCAATCACAGAGCGGCAGAGCTCGCGCCTTGTTAAAATAACATTGCATTGGAAATTTGTTTTATGGATTCATTTAGCGATTTAAAACATTCCTTAGGCCAAATTAGGTATGTTAGAAATTTTCAGATTTAAAAGATAACCAAACGGGCATTGTAAATAACCTATCTGGCGATATAACCATTGTGTCGAATCTCGCTAATACTTCAAAGTGTCTTTTGCTAAATAATTCTTGCATCTTTTAACAGATGGCGCTGTTTTCAAATTTGTTTTTATTGTTATCAATAATTGACATTTCACATTTTCATACATTATTAAGTTATGAAAAATGTAAGTAATGTGTTTCGCACATTTTGTTTAACTTCAAGTTGGTTATTGGTATTTACTCGTATAACAAGTTTTAAAAATGATGTACATACAATATTAAAAATAATACTGTAAAAATAACATAAAAGTAAAAAAAAACTTACTTACATTATAACCAAGACAGTTCCTAAAATTAAAAGACTAGATGATAACTGTTACAAAAGGTAACGGTTTATAATAAAAAAAATGTATTAAAAATAAAAAAATATGCTAACGCGCGTTCAAAACAATTTAAAACGAATCGATGCTGTCGGAAACGACACAAAGCAACCGAATTTTCTAAAAATAATCG